GAGAGGTGTGTAACTCTGCTGTGTGCCGCCCCATCAGGACTCTTCCAAGGCTGTTTCTCTGGGACTGTGGATGGAGGAGATGATTTTCAACCTCGCGGATTCTCGCCTCTTCTTCAACGACCTGGAGGTGAGGGCTGTCTGCGCTTATTCTGGAGCGACGCGTGTCTCTAGTAGAACCTCTGGCTCACCTTTCCAGCGTGGAGAATACCTGATCCCAGGCTGTGTAGAGGGATCCGGATGGCTACCGGGCAGTGTTTGGCACGCCTGTCGAAAACTCCTTAAGTTTCAGAATGCGGAACAAGTTACATAGCACAATAGTTAATGCATGTGCTCTTCCACATGACTCTCTAGAGCAGGGGTTACCACTCCTGGCCCTGGAAGAGCCTCAGTCCAACCGGTTTTATTAGGTAACTTTACATCCTCACTGTCAAAAGACCTGCAAACCATGGTTATGCGGGTCAATGAAGTGAACTATAAGGTATTTAAGAGTCCAGGATACATTGACATCCACAAGATCTGAGAGATTCCAGGATTGGGGGGGATATCGATGCTCAACTATAAATGAAAAACAACCCATTGTTTTGTGTTGTTGATTTCCATGTCCAGTGATAAATACATCTGAATACTGCCAGACATTTTGGTATCCTAGATAGCCATGAAATATGATCTTTTGTGTTTGTGCCCATACTCACCCAGACTCTACTGCAGAGGTACACAACGACACTACAGGTCCTGGAGGATTCTGGTTTTCTTTCCACCTGAGCCCTTAATTACCTAATTGAACTCCTCATCTGCTTAGTTAGGCAAGCTTAAGCCTTTCCTTGTTCTTAAGAAGCTAGAGGTGTAAGGAGACTTACAACACCTGCTGGACAGAGCCCTTGAGGACCAGAGTTGGACAGTTCTGCTCTGCTTGATTCTGTGGTTCCTGTTATTTAAACCCATCCCCAGTCTTGTGGTCAGGGTCTCTCTTGGTTCTCTGTGGTCTGACCTCCTTCTCTGATGTCCAAGAAGGAGCTTTCGGAAAGCTCTGTGCGTGTGCTTTGAAGTCCCAGCTGAGAAGGAAGAGCAGAGGGCTTTGGAGTGAGAAGCCCTTTTCTTTCACATTCCACTTTCTTGTACTTACAAAGAAAGGGATTAAAACTCACCCCAGGCCTCAGCAGGAAAACCCACTCCGAGGTTGTTAATTAGAGGTGTGTGTCTGTTTCTGCAGACGCGATTAGTCCCATTGAAGAACTCTTTCCAGGGAAGGAGGCCAAAGCAATTATTTGCAGACACGTTTTTAATGAAGCCTTTTGTCTCTGTAATTGCTGTTGCTTATCATTGCGGTGGCCTATTGCTGCACATGTGTTTACGGTAAGACATTATAATTTATAAAAGCTTCTATTCAGCCTGTCAGCGTAGCCAGGGTGTTGCCAGAGGCAAAATAACTCATGGGAGGATTAGGAGGCGTTCCAAGCTGGGAAGAGTTCAGAGTTTAAAACACCATAAACCAAGTTTTGGAAAACTGAACCCCTTTTAAAAGCAAATGTATTATGCACTGTCTAGAGTCTTGCGATTTCATCCAAAACCTGCAAAGGAAGCATGAAGACTCTTGGTGCAGGGATTTAAAATCTACTGTCTTTTTAAAAGAGAAGTTCTCTTGCTCGTTCCAGATGCGTACAAGTACAGATCTCCCTTTTGCCTCCCTGCAGGAGGATCTGAAGGACGAGAACGGTTTTTCAGGAGGCAGGGTCTTCAAGAGGCC